GAAGCTGGAGGAGGGGGAGGGCAGCAGGGAGGGGATGGGGGTGTTGTCAAGGCGAATAAGGGTATGGTTTTGAGGAAGAGTGTTGAGTATATTAGGTGGGTTTATTTGTTTTCTTTCCCAATGAAACCAATATTAACACTCCTTCTGTTACTATCTAGATACCTACAACAACTCGTAACAGCACAAGGTGCACGCGACCGCGAGCTCGAACAAGAACTCAAAGCCTACCGCCGACGATCACGCAGCTCTTCAAGCATGGAACCACCACTTTCCGATTCAGCGAGTACAGCGGCTGGGGGGGACGGCAGCAACATGATCCTCCATGACGAGCTGCACCACTTCCACCATGGTGGGCATGGGCATATGGGGAGACTGCCGAGTATGCCAGAGGAGGGCGGGGACGACGGGGACGATCTACGTCTGACAAGTGAGCGAGTCGGAGTTCTTGGCGTTTGGCGAACTCATATCAATAATCAGCGGTATCTAAAGCCAATCTCAGCTCCTCCTTGATGGAGCTCAAGGCTGTTGGGATTGCGACATTTTTAATGACCGTTGGGGCCGTAACAGTTATGTGGAGTGTAAAGAGCGCGCTTGGGGTTAACGACGTATGCGACAGTCATCTCTTCTAGCTATCAATTATCTCCTCACTAATGTAATGCAGGCACAAGAGTTTGGCAAAAGGATGTGAATGCCATTCTGGTCCGCGCTTCCGAAAGACTTATTGTCAAGCATCTACCGACCAGCCGCAACTGACGAAGATTACCTTGATGCTTATGAAGTTGCGCCATTCGAGGCGGAGGGTTGGACGTGGGTGGAGGCTGAGAAGAGGCTTATGATGAGGGTGGGTTTCCGTCGTGGGCTCAGATTGCTATGCGGGAGACTGAGGCTGAGGCAAGGGTAGAAAGAGTTAGACAGCAGAGGGAGATGGATGAGAAATGTGGTAGCCTTGCGTTGATTATCGATGTGCTGGCTTCCTTCTAATGCAAAATCGTGTGCAGGAACCGCTTTTCTAAATTTATTTGCAGGGCTTCAACTCTTCCCCTTGCTCGTCTCCATTTTCCGCAGTGGGTATTTGTCCTTGCCTCCTTGTGCACTTTGAGAAGGATTATCAGAGCAGCCGACGAACTGTGAGTTTTTCTCTTTCCGCAGCTGGCACGTTACACAACCAAGGCCCAAGTGCGATATACGGCGAATGCCAAGGAATCTCCCTCCGCCCTGTAACATTTTGTATCGAATGCCAAAAAGGAGTCTCCCTCCGCCCTCATGGTTTCGTATCCCCGATTTCGGATCACAGCTCCTGTGCTCTTCTTTTCCAGTTCGCTCCTACTTATGTCGAATGATTTAACGGGATCTCCCGGATCTCGTCCGCTTTTGGTGCTCAGGGTTCTAGGCACGCTTGCCCCAGATGCTCCTGCCAAACAACCCGCCACCTGAAGCTCCTCTCCGTCGCTTGCGTGCGCAACAGTTCAGCGTGAAGCTCCTTTCCATAGCTTTGTTTTCCTATTCCCGGGGGGGGGACCACAAGTCGATTAGTGCATAGTAGTAGTACCAAATCATATGTAATTAGTCATGTTTTAATTTATCTTCTTTTTCGGCTTCTCCTCAACCCTCAGGACACCTCCCATCCCTCGTTCCAATAGCTGGCCCGGGGCTTGTGGTTGAACTCTGATTTGGTTTTTGGTTTCAATTCAGATGTCGGTCTCGATTTCGGTTTCAGGCGGTGAGTTGTGAGATGAATTTGATTTGTGTTCCTCTGCCGTTCCGTGCTTGCTGGAGCGTGTTCTCCCGTTATTCCACCTGATTACCTCCAAAAGCTTCGGCATGCTTTTGTTGGCATCTGGATACTTGCTCAGGAACTCCCCCTCGTCGCAGCCCAACCTCATACACAAGCAATTATTTTCTGGGAGGCTTTTCAAGGATACTGACTGGCGTACCTCACATACTCATCAAATATTGTCTTCCTCTGCATCCGCTTGGCGGCTGTGGCACTGCTGCCCTTGTACCACTCCTCTGGCCAGTCCCTCAAGGTGCGCTTTGTCACTGGATCAACTTCCTCCCACTGCTTGATCGCTCTTTTCCACGCCCCGGGGGTTCTTCCTAGGTCCGGAATTGCGAAATTGAAGCGCCGGAAGGTTGGCGTGATGACGCTGGCAGCCTCAGACATTGCACGCTGGGGTAGAGATGTTTGGGGGCCTTCTTTCCTCACGGCAGCGCCCTCAATTGCATGTGGTAAGGTGTAGGGTGCTGATGCAGCCCTTGATGCTTGCAATTGGGTGTGTGGCGGGCGTTCAGGTCCAACGAGCATGTCTGATATTGGATCTGTAAGACGGTGGGCAGTTGGACCGGAATGACAGGTATGGGAGAATCTTGTTGTGATTGTTCTTGTGAGCTCATCAAATTTGCGATTGACACAGTCTTGTATCTGTCGAACATCTTCACCTGTTGCATGTTGCACTGCAATGTGTTCGCCCATGAAGCTTTGGTCCACTCCAAGGGGAATTGGATGCAGCACGTTGCTGTGCCCCGTCTCGAAGCTCTGCAGTGAGTCAATCAGGTACTTCATCAGTGTGTCGACCTTAACAATCGTTTTTCATGAGTAGCTAAACTGTTGCCCATGACCGAAACTTATGTGCTCTCCAACTGCCCATCCGCCCCACCACCGGATCCAGCTAAGTGGTCACCGCTTCCCGATGGGGGCATACATGAACCTGTATTGAGCGCCGCCACGTCGAAAGCAGTGTGTCGTGTAGTGCTTTTCAAGTCCAGCGGCTGCCGTGAACTTGGTGAGCAAAGTTTGCAGTGAATCATAGCTCATTTCGCGTTTAGGGTGGATCAATCCATTTGGGGCGATGTGGGGGAAAATGTAGTCGTCCTTCTCAACTTTCCAGTTGGGTTGGAGTTTTTGGAGGTATGCCTGCCATTTTGGAAGGTGCGCATGCATGTCTATTGTGAGAACATCTTGGTGATAAATCTCATAGATGTTGCCTAAAACACAGGTTAGATGCCCTCAGGCAATGACCCTCTACAATGCGAGGTAGTACACACTTGTCCGCGGGCCATCATAGCCTTTTGCATGTTGCCACCCTTTTCTGTTCTCGAGCAGAACTTTAAAGTGTGGGATGTAGTGCGGCGATGGCCCCACACAATTGTTCTTGATGTCTTGGTCTTGCAAGGTGAGTAACTCGAAACATCTATCAATTTGAGGTCCTAAGTTTTGAGCAGCATTTTATCAAGACACGAAACCGCACCTAGTCCAAAGTGTAAACGCCGAGCTGATGAATGCTCTCATGAGTGCATGCTCGGCACGAAACTTTAAGGTTGCGAGATCTTCGATGGGCATCGTAAGCATATCATCGGGACACATTGTTTCTGACCACACCATTAGCTTTTGCAGCTCCTCTATCATCATTGCCTCAGCGTGATTTCGGATTGCTGCATGGCCCTTCTCTGCAGACCGTACTTTCACTGCATGCACCACAGCCATGACAGCAGGAGCCCGAGCAGGACACCCAGTTACCCTGCCTGTCTCGTCATCTATTTGGTACACGCCAGCGTATTTTTCCCCATCCCTTTCCCGATAATTAGGTTACAGTTGTATTGATAAAAGAAGGCTGCTTACATTGTATCCCAGTATCTTGCGAAGGCACCGTGAATCCCATCTGCTGTGTCTTTTCCGAGGCCCTGCACAAAGCATTTCTGGACTAGGAACATTTCAACAGCCATGGCCGAAAAACGATTTGGTGGTTTCTCAAATGCCTTCTCAAGCTCGTTTGTTGGGATGCCCTCACTGCAGATGACCTCGCCCCTTGCTTGCCTCTCCTCAACCATACTTGCCAAGAACCTCACTCCTCTGTCCAGATGCCCGCCATAGGCATTACTTGTATTTTTGACTGAGGTCAGTTCCTTCACCTGCACATTTCGGGTTTTCTGGAGTGTTGCAAGTGGTGCCGCCGTAACGTGTGCCTTTTTTGATGCCCGTTGTGGCTTTCTGGTGGCTGAGGGAGACACTTTCGAAGCTGCAATTGCTGCAGCTGCAGTAGCTGCAGATGCCTTTGTATGGTTCCTTGGAGCTATGATAGAGTAGGACGAAATAAAATATATTTCTTGTTCCCTAATGCCCATGTTTCAGCTTACAAGTTCACTGTTAATTACCTCCGAGGTGACCCTGTCGCTAGCCACTTCATTTTGTGGGTCTAATCATAAAATACAATTTCAATCTTCGGAACTATAAATACAATTTATGCTGATACTTCTTGTAGCGAAAAGCCTACGTCAGGTCGATAAAATCACCCATTTTTCTCTTCATGCCCCTTACCATCTCCAAAGATTCTTGAGCGATGACGAGATCATCATCGATGATGATCGGATTTTGAGATGAGCCTGCAACAGCATCCTCATTGATATGAGAGCTTGAGGCACACAGAATAGGACTGGCATCCTTGTCAGTCTGGTGATACAATGTCAGCTACAACATGCAAATGATGATCAACTCTACTTACCGAAGCCTCAGTGGTGCACATGACAGGGCACAAGTATTAGTTACCTTACCCCACTAATACTGAGCCCCCCGACCATACAAACAGACCATAGTTGATGGTGCCTGCTGATGAGCCCATGGATCAGTTGACCCCATCAAAGGTGGACCGGCCATCAAGACTCTCTTAGGACTGGTAATGTGCATCGGCTGAGAAGTGTACCCCATGAATTGACATAGCTAAAAATGCCTTGGATCCTAGGTCAACCGATCTCTTCATGGATTGGGCTCAACATGTGTCATGGGTCAGCTGAAGAGCTCTAAATCCCATGCATTGTGGATCAGCCCACAGCCGTCTCATTTTTATTTGCCAAGTTTACCTCGGCTTTTCATTGCCGGTCATCATGCAGTTTACTGGGTCGGGTCCATCACCTACCAAGAAGCCGAGCACGGTGACATGGTCAGTCAGCTAGTACCCCATGAATTAAATATGCCTTGGATCCTGGGTCAACCCGTCTCTTCATGGAATGGGCTCATGTGTCATGGGTCTGCTGAAGAGCTTTGAATCCCATGCAGCGTGGATCAGCCCAACCTGGTCCCATCCAGTTGACACTATACGGCCGAGTTTCGTCTTCACTCAAGTTGCTCAAACATTACCTCGGCTTTTCTTTGCCGGTCATGGTCCAGTATTCGGTCATGCAGTTTACTGGGTCCATGACTTCCCAAGAAGCCGAGCACGGTGACGTTCACAAGGCAGTGAAATATATTATGCACACCCCCGGTTCAAAATCCCTACCAAGTTTATACCGACCAATGTTTCTTGTAAACATACCCATGTTGGAACGGGTCTGGCTCAAACAACCGCACTCGGCTGCCTGAAATAAACGCCAAGCTGTTACTATGCCGGTCCCCATTGGACAAAGTTGCTCCAAGATCCCCCCGCTTTCTTACTGCTTTCATTATTATGTCCACCACAGGACTTCATATTAAATATGCCCAAAAAAAAATTGAAGATTGTCCAAAAAATATACATGTATGCTACTAACTATTAAGTAGACGGAGTTTGGACAGTTTGGACATCATTGTTTGTAACTTGCTGGCAGTCAGATTTTTGAATCCTCACCAAGTAGAAGACTTACTCTGTGCGGGGGTTTGAAGTGTGGGTTCGAGTTTCTGTAGCCGAGGTGACTTCCTATTACCCCCAATGTAAGGACCGGGCGAACTTGCCCGGGTTGGAGGAATTGGGTTTGGCGCCAACAGAAGGACCGCTGGGCTCTCAGATGCTGGAGGCAGAAAGACGGCCGGGGTTGGAGAGACTTGCGCGTGATCGGTTGAAACTGGGTTTGGCAGAACGACACCCGGGGTCGGGGAGACTTGTACCTGCTGGCTTTTCTGACCGCGGTCGGGTGAGACG